GGTGTTTCAGGACGCATTCTCAGCTACTCTGTAATCCTGGATCTCTACATGCAATGAATACCCAAGACACCCAATGATTATGGATAAATGTAAAGTTGGATGATGATAAGGAAGATGATGACGAGTAGCCAGAGTCCAGGAGCCCCTTGATATTGGACATGAGGACAAATCAGCAGGACTAGAGCCAATGGTCTTCATCATTTCCTTTGTGCATATGTGTGGAGAAAGAGCTAGGAACTACTACTTATACTTAGAATGTACTCACAAGTCTTATTATGTAGCAGCTAAATGAGATACCCTAAGCTAGACATTCCACATGCGGGGCCTTATGTTTTCCATAACTGAGCTGGGTGTTATTTGTGTCATTTGTGGTTGGCTCAGAAAATGCAAATAATCTGCCCATATTTCTGCAAGTAATAATTAAAGACTGGGGTTTAAGTCTGGATTCTGGCACACGAAGTCCTGCCATCACACCCCCTCCCCTGGGCAGCCTGTTTCAGGGCCTTGGCTTTGGGATTTAGAGGAAGAATAAAAATTGAGTAAGTGTATGAACTCTTGATTCAGATGATCTGGGTTGAAGCCCCGGATCTTGCTGTGTCGCAGGGCACAAGGGACTTAGCTAATTTTAGTTCACTGTCCTCATTTGTAACGTGAGAACAAAATACTTTGTAGTGAGTATTAACAGAATTAAACAAAACCCGTTCAAAGTACACACAACGCCTTCTGTACAAGAACCTCTCAGTGTCAGTTCATATTATTAACTACCAACAAATACAAAGATTTAAAAAAAAACTCTAAAAGCTACTTGATACCATGTTTTCCTCAGTTCGTAGAAACAAAGACCACAGAAACGAATGAAATCCATTGTTGAAAGACTTCAGAGCCCCTCACTGCACCCCTACTTTATAGTCCTCTCATTCCCAAGCCAGAATTTACTGTGTGAAGGCGACTCCTGGGAAATGATGGAGACTTCAGCTGTCACTAAGTCTATTTTGCAAGATCCAACCATTGTGATATTTCTCCTTGAAGCCAGGGAAGTTCAAAAGTTAAGTTGATCAGAAGGTAAATGCTGTAGCATAACAAAAAGACAAACATAGAAGAACTTACCATTTTCATCCTTCCGAGAAGCTTTTGTGTAGTTAACAGCGGCGAGCTCTAAAAGAAATGAAAGCAAGTATTATTCCGTTGTTCATATCCATTCTTTGACACGTGTCTGTGTCGTGGATAGTTTGATGGATGGATAGCGAGAGAGACAGACAGACAGGCAGATAGAATCTGTCAACAGACTGGAGACAGCCATTACAAATAGGAGCCCCACAATTCCAGAAAAGGTGCTCTGATTCTTTGTGACTGAGCAGATCAATTCATATATGGTATTTCTGCACATGGATACATTGAAGTTCATGATTTTTTTTTCTTTTTTTCTCACAACTGGAGGATAATATCTAAGATTATCTTGTTTTCCTTCTGGGCTCACAGCTCCTAACACAGTGCCTGCGGCAAAGCAGGTGTTCTGTAAATACTTGTCGAGAGGAAAACCAACCAGAAACAGTGGCTGCTGTAAAGACCTGAGCACACACCGCTCACATGAAGTGTGGCCACCAAAATGATGTCGTCCAACCCAAGAATCCACAGCAGAATCTTACACGTTGGAAGGAGGCTGGTTTAGGTCAATTTCCCATGTAAAAACGGAAGCAGCCTTACCTTTCCAAATCACGCACACCCCGGTAACCGCAAGCCCCGCACATGATTTTCTAGAGTGGAGGTGTTTGTGGACATGACAACAAGACTAATGAAAGCCAGTACCCTTATATGGGCTAGTATCCAAAATCTATAAAGAGCTCACCAAACTCCACACCCAAAAAACAAATAACCCAGTGAAGAAATGGGCAGAAAGCATGAATAGACACTAGGGATACTAGCCCTTTGTCCGATATGTCATTTGCAAATATCTTTTCCCATTCATGAGACTTTTGCAGTGAATCATCCAAAAAAATGACCTTGACATTTTAAAATCTTTTGGAAGCTTCTGCTTGCTAATTAAACTGAGGGGTCCTACTGTCTTTAACTGTAAAACCCTTGCTCTTAAGTGCCTTTCCTAAGTGGTCTTATCTAATTGGAAATTATATCTTTAACATCTGGGACCATAGTTCTTAGATGAAAAATAAGCAGGTGTACTGGAAGGTGGTGGGCTTGACCCTTCAGGACTTGAGGATCCCATGAGCTAAGATTTGGAGCCAAACTGACACCTAAAAGGCATATGACCCGAATTGGGGATTGTGTGTGTTTTACAGTATACGTCCTTGCACAGAGGTTTTCCGGAGGTTGATGGGTGACCCAGTGCTGACCCGACGACCCCTGCCCTCACCAACTTGTACCATCAGAGGAGTGTTCTTGAGGTAGCGAGTGCTCTAACAGTCTTTAAATGTGGGACCTCTGAGATCCCTGTTGCCAGTAGCCTTTCTCTAAACGAAAGGAGACAATCGTGTGCACATTACTGAATGGGCAATAAGAGAGGCTACTGCGTTCAGGACCCAAGAAGACTCCATGTGCACCACCAACAATTCTCTTGGAACCTTGCAGACTTTTCTAGCAGGGGAAGTGCGGTCTGAAAGGTTGGGGGCTTGGCTCCAGGCACACCTTTCTGCCAGCCCAGCTGGGCTCTGGCCAAATAGGCCAGTTCCACAGGGTTCCAGATAAACATGCCGGCTCAGCCGGGCTCTGGGCATAACCCTTGCAGCCCA